GGGTCAACCCATTTTATAAGTGTTACCAAACCTTGGTAGCATATTTTTGTTATAAAGCTATATTTTGGCATTAAGCTTGATAGATTGGAGGATTTTGTTATTATTTCACTGAGTATGACTCGTAAGCATGACAAAGTTGTCGCTTTTCTTGTTGCTCTTGATAGTGTAGTAAGAGATTTTCTTATTTTTTGTTCATGTATTTTGATGGTTATGGTTGCATTGTAGGCCAATGAAAAACGGAAGAGGAGGGTATTACCTAGTTCAATAGATAGATTCTGTGCACAAAGTGAGCATCTCCATAGGCTCATAAGTGAAAGCGGTAGAACTTGTTTTGAACAACTTAGGATGGATAGACATACATTCCATGTCTTGTGTTGCTTAGCTAGGGATGTAGGTGGACTTAATGACACTAAAAATGTGAGTGTCAAAGAGAAGATTGGGATATTCTCGAGTATTATAGGACATGATGACAAATATCATCTAGTTAGGTTCAACTTCATTAGGTCTGGGGAGACTGTGAGCAAGCATTTCAACTCAGTTCTTCAAGTAGTTCTAAAGTTGAGGCAACTACTACTAAAGAGGCCTGATCCAGTCCCAAATAATAGCAATGATCCGAAATGGAGGTGGTTCAAGATAGTCGTTTGTTTATAAATTAGTATGGTTTCTAATTTTTATGAAAATATATAATGTATACATGCACTCAATCCAATTCATCGTAATTGGTGATTACAAGGATGTGTAGGGGCACTAGGTGGCACTCATGTTAGAGCCAAAGTGCCCCTCTTACATCGAACTAGATATAGGAACAAGAATGGGTACACAATAACCAATGTGTTGAGAGTTTATGGGTAAGACATGAAATTCATATATGTATTGCTCAGTTGGGAGGGGTCTACTATTGATTCTAGGATTTTACGAGATACTATCATAAGGAGAAATGTGTTGAAAGTGGATTATGGTAAGCACACAAAAAACTATTTTGAAATACTTTGTTATTGGGTTAGTGACGTAAAGCTATTAGTTTTATTTACTTTTGAGCATTTGTAGATACATACTTTCTCGTGAATAAATGGAGAGGGTTTTTAGCTCCATTTTGTTGACAATGATACCATTTGAAGGAATTTGTAGATGGTGTAGCAGCACCTCTAAATGCGCAAGAGTATTTCAATCTGAAGCACTCTACAACGAGAAATATCATTTAATGGTGTTTGGTCTTCTGAAAATGCGATGGGTTATCCTTAGGCTGACTTTCTTTTACCCTATTCCGACACGCAATGAAATCATTACTGCTTGTTACTTATTGCATAATCTTATTAGGAACGAGATAGAAGTGGATCTATTGGAAGAAGTGTTGGATGAAAATTAGTTGGAAGATGAGAATGCGAATGAGAATAACATTATCGATATTATTGAATCTTCTCATCATGGACTGCATGGTGAGATCAATTGGCAAATGCCATGTATAATGAGTGGAAAGGTACTAGGGGGAATAAAAGTTAGGGGGAGCATATAGTTGACTTATATGATTTTGGTTACACTTTTTGTCTTGTGATGTATGTCGTATTATTTCAGTACGCATTGCATGTGGTAGATGTTATGGTATTAGAGGATGTTTTATCTTTATATAAAAATATGTATTCATGTATGCATAAATTTTTTGGGGTAATTAACATACATTTAGTTCAAATTTGCTAATATATAGTTTGTAGAGGTATAATACTAAGTGTTGGAAGCTCACAATTTAGGGGTAGTTCTCAGTCTGACAAGTTCCCTAGAAGAATATGGACATCATCTAAAGAAATGATACTATTAAATACGCTGAAAGACATTTGCAACCAATGTTGGAAATTTCAAAATGGTGCGTTCAGATCTGGGTATCTACTTCACTCGGAAAATCTCAATCAGATGCACTTAGCAGAGTTGATTTGCATGCCACTCTGCAAATTGAGTCAAAGATACGGGTGATTATGCAAAAGATTTGGAGGAGATGGTCATGGGTGAAACTGCAGCTATTCTAGGTCAACAAAGTGAGGACATCGCTGGTAATAATGCAAACATGATGAACACTGGTTTGTTAAAAAATTGCACACAACAAGGTGTAGTTGGACATGGTGACACACCTACCAGTCGGAAGCAGCGAAAGAAGAAGGTTGGTGAATCATCTGGGGCAATTGCCACATAGCCTCGATCAAATGACCGACATACTTGGTGATTATGTCGTAAATTGTGGAAAACTACTTTCGACATTGCACATAGGGTGGGTATGAGTAAGATGTTGCCGAGGCTAAGGGCAAACTCAATTATGGGTTGGATAAAATAGATGGCTTTGACAATGGACCAATGATAGGACAATGTACAAGATTGCCAGTGATCCCATAAAGGTTGATCTATTCATGAGCTTGCCGTAAAGTGAAAGACCATCATGGCTTATTGGCGTGCTTTGCGGATGTCATATGATAATCGGTGGTAGCTATGTGAACTCCTACCACATTCAGAAGAATTTGATATCATTTTTGTGTGGAAGGAACATTTGTGTTGTTCTTTCCTTTTTTGTGAATGTGGTATATTTGAAACTCTAATATTATATGTAGGATTTATGTGCTAATGGTGTATGTTAAATATAGTGAAGGTGTGTGTTGTAGTTAATGTTAGTGTTATGCTCAAATGCGCGTAAATGATGGTTGTTTTATTGGTCACTGATTTTTGTACTTGCACCTTTAATGACAGGAATGAAAATAGTAGTCAAGAAGAAATGGTATATAGTTTTCAATGGCCGACGGTTTGGAATTGTGGATAATTGATCAAACTGTCATGAGCTTGTAAATGGATACCCTGGCGCTTTGTACAAATCCTTTCGTTCATACGAAGCGGCCGAGAAAGCCTAAATGCAACACATTGTGGCAGCAGCCTTGGACCAGGATATCAATCTAGTGCGTACCCGGAGTGAAAAATATTGTGGAACAAAGGCCCACAATAGCACGTGAACGCATTCTAATGCCCATGAAATGTTTGGAAGAGGGCAACTAAAAGTCAAACTAATTCAATTTAATGGACCTTTGTTCGGTGTTATAGGTCTCATGTTGGGTTTCACCATTTTCCATACTTAAAATACGTTTCTGGGAAATTGTTTTTAATCATATGGTGATGTAAGAAGATGTTAATTAATGAAATTTTGTTCAACAAGTTGTGTTGCTGATTTTTGAAATTTATGTATTAAATTGTATGGATTATTAGCAGTACTTAAATGCACTAGTTTCTGTCATTTTTATTAATGTGTTGCGCACTTATTTTGTAATGGATGTTATCATTGGAACATGATTAGTAGTCATGCAGCGATTAAAACTTAACCAAGATGAGAATGACGTGTTGTTGAATTGCCTTATGGATTTGAATTTAGAGAGGCCGATTGGCAACTTTGATGATTTCCTCAAAGAAGGTTAGACTTGTTTATGAGAATTGGTAAGGGACCGTGAGCAAGAACCACAACTATCTTGGCTTTGTAACGGGCGTGATTATTTTTTGGAAGAGGCGACATTTTAAAATGAAAGAAATAGAGGCTTAGGGCTTATTTTGTTGGAGCGATAATAAGAAACTACTTTTCCCGACCACTCCCAGTTTGTTTTTGTTAGAGGTTGATTTTATTGAGGTTTTTACATATGTACAAAAGTATAATAATTAGTCTATACATTCCTTCATAAATTCAAAACTTGTATTGTGTTGGAGGGCGTGTTTGCAGCTCGGGCTTACACGAAGTGTTGTCCCAATTATGAGATTTTCATGAAATTTTTTGGCCCACATGGAGATGCTGGGCACATGGAATCAATTTTTAGTGCTGGCTCTAATTCAGTCAATTCACCATACAGGGCTATTATAGACGTGATTGTCATTGATGATTGATGTCATCTTCATATGTAGAAGGTATGTACCTATTATAATGTCTTGTGATAAGGTATGGTGGAGATATGTCTATTATGTGAAATTTGTTATGGGATGGACAAGTTTTGTGTATATCCCTGTATGTTAAAGGTTATTCTATAAGAGCGTATTGCACAACTAATTTTTGGACTAAGATAAAGTTGCACCAAAGAAATTGTTTGATTGTAGTTATGCATAATGTATTAATTTTTATCAATATTGATGTTTGCTATCATCAATTGGGAAAAAAAAAACCAAATATGAAGTTCATAAGTTAACGCAACAAAAAATGTATTTTATCAAATATAGGTACGAATTGTATTAATTCATGGACAAAATAGTCATTTATATGACAAATGATAGTTATAATAGTGATAAATCTGAAAATCCCACAATTATATTTATTATTTATCAAACATGAGTATGAATAAGATTCATTTATGAATTCCATGTACTCAAAGATGAGGCTAAGTTCGAAAGGATTTGATAACACCGATCCAATCATAATTGTGGAGCACGTGATGCGTGTGTAAAACATATTCATTTATTGTATAATAATTTTTAGTCATATTTAGAAGTAATTCAATCTATTATTTCTTAGCAACCAATATTCGATGGTTCCTTCTTTACCTGAAACTAGATGATTTCTCAATAAAAGATGAAAATTTTAAAAAAAAATGTACCAAAAACTGCTCGCCTTACAAAAAAAATCAAGTGGCAAGTGCAAACTTTGTGCAAATGCGTGCTTAGAAAAGAGGACAGCAGGATACAAAACTTGTTATGACTTAGGTTAAATTTTATAAATTTCCCTCAATTATAGTATTTGTTTTAAATTATCTCCTAAATTTTTAATTATTTTAATTTATCCCTGAATTATGTAATTCATTTCAATCACCCCTTTCATTAAATATATTTTTTCAATATTTCCCGATATTTGATGTCGAATCTTTTTACGTCAATCAAACAAGAAGGTAGTGAAGTGTAATTTCTTCAATTGGTATATTTTTATAACTAATGGATAATGTCCTGCCACCAACCAATATATTCTAACGTAATTCTCTGTAAAAAAAAAAAAATCAAATCCGCTAAACAACATCAGAAGCTTGTCCGGACTGTACAGCTGGCTTTGATTGAGAAATCCAGGCCAACCACCTCGCCACCACCCTCTCTTGTCTCTGTCGCTGTCGCCACCGCTGGCGGTGGTTATGGTCCTCATTACTCACCCTGCTCAATCCCGTGATTTCCGACACGCTTCTCACATTTATTACGCTTCTGCCACTCTGCTCCTTCTCTTTCTGCCGCCGCCCATCTTTCCTCCCCTCATCAATGCCACTGGCAATTGACGTTGATCCCCAAGCTCTGGAGAATCTACGGCTGTCACCGATGATCATTTCCGACCGTAGATACAGAAGATCCGACGGCTGTACGTCGCTCCACCTGTGGTGGGCCCCACAACTCCCGGCACTCCCGCCGGAAACTACGATCCGGTGCTCGAATCGCCGGTCAAAGCTTGTCCTATCCGACGTCGTTCCTTCGTTTAATAAGAGCCCGTCTTTTCTGGGCTTCTCGAAGCAGCCAATGGACACATTTTCCACCATGTTTTTCTTCTTCTTGTCGGAACTATCGAACGATCTGCGGCCAGTAAACGACGTCGTTTTGGAAATTCCTGACACTCCCTGTCTCTCCACTATTATCTGTAGGGTCCCACTCCCTCTTTCCCCGGCCGACGAGTGTCTGCCGGAAACCCTCCGTAAATCCCTCTCCTCATCTTCTTGAGGCGGCGGTGCAGGTGGAGGTGGAGGTGGAGATAATTGACGGTCGTCCATTTTGTGATTTTCCACCAGGAGAATGTCTTCTGGCTCGACACGATAGCGACAGAGAGGGCAAGTGGAATGGGCGTCGAGCCAAGTGTCGACGCATTCGACATGGAAGGCGTGCTTACATTTGGGGAGCAATCTGAGGACCTCGACGGACTCGAATCGGTTTAAGCAAACGGCGCATTCGAGTCCGTCCTTTTGGCCTCTCAAAGACCCGAATCGAAACACAGGAAGTGATTCGATTACCGTTCGGTCGATGCCGGAGTTTTTCCTCGACGTTGACGGAACAAACCCTCTGGAATTTGTGCTTCCGTTGGGATACCCATTTCCCCTCTTGCAGTGCTTGGCGTAGAGAAGTAACAAAAAAGTAATAGAAAACAAGGTCGTGAGTATTCCCACAATAACAGCTATGCTTGGCCTGAATGGTGAGAAATTGCGTCTTAGCGGCGGAGGAGGTGGTGGTAATGGTGGTGGTGTATTAGAACCAGAGGCAATATCGCCAATATCACCACCGTTTTTGTCTTTTGCTATGGTACAATTGGGGGTAACGAGGAGGAGGAGGAAGAAGAAGAAGAGAGAGAAGCGGAGGAGGCGGAATAGCCTCAGGACTATTATGAATACGCTCATGTCTGGCTTTCTATGTTGGGAAGTATGAATTTTTGAGGGAGAAGGAGAGAGGAGAGAGGAGAGAGGAGAGAGGAGAGAGAAAGCAGGAGAATCTGTGATATGGGTCTACAATAAAGATACAAACAAGACCAGACAAAGGCATCTAACTGACTTCATTGAACTTATTAGAATTATTACAGGAATATGGAAGCTAAAGGACATTAGAAAGGTAATTACAAAGATGCTCCTCCTAGTTTTTAAAATTTTTAGTGTGGCCCTTATTATTTTCGAAATTATACTAAACTAGTTAAGATGTGACAAAAAGAATAATAGAGTAAAATCGTATCCCCTCTACGATCCATTTACCCCAAAATCAGGAAAAATAATATTTCACCAACATTGGTTATTTGATCTATTAATGTGGATGATATAAAAGATTCAATCAAAATTATGTTTCTCATTCACTCTATATATTATTTTCAAAGAAATATACATACCAAATGAGTCGAAATGTCATACAAATTCACTTATCGTCAAAATTTATAAGAAATATGACTAAAACAATCTACACAGAACATCAATATTGATGAGACAAGAATAACAAAAGGGATTAGTATACTTTTAGAAATAACAAGGGCTTTTGAAAACACCATAGACTCGAAAGATTCATTGTAATTTATCTAAAGGTTTTTTTTTTTTTGGATCGGAAATTTATCCAAAGTTGAAGGAGCACAGAATTGTCACTTTACATCATTTATTAATCTGATCACACTGACATAGGATATCTGTACGATTTCAAAAATTATAAGGGTAGCAATGAAATTTTCAAAAACAGTGTTGAGGGGTGCTGTAATTTATCTTAATCAAGAAACGAAAAAGATAAGAGAAGGGCATGGCTGGGGGGGACCTTGGTTGGGGTTTGGTTGTAGATTGACATTTCAACGGCATATTGCGACGGAAGCGAGCCTTTTGTTTGTTAAAAAGCAAGAGGTATTGTTCAATGCTGTGATGAGCATCGATGTCATAGCCGCCACCGCAAAACTGGACAGACGTATTACAGAAAAAAAAACTAATAGTGATATTATTGGGACATAAATTAAAGATATAATGTGATGTCATTAATAAAATAATAATAAATTTATTTAATTCTATAACATCACTT